CAAGGAAGCATTGTTGGAAATTGTTTCAGTGTTTTGCCGCTGTTCACCCATGTCGTCACGACTCCATCTTCCTCGTTCCCTCTCACTTGCATGGCCCGGCACCAGACACGGACTAGTTCGTCTATAAACGCCACCGCCACCGCCGCCACAGCCACCGCCAATTTACAAAGTAAAAACTTCTTCCATTCCATTCCTCTCGCCACGGATCGAAGGAGAGAACCGAAGTTCCACCACCCAAGTTTAAAGGAGGTGGCCCAGATTTACATGCGTAAGACACCAAGCACAAGTTTCTATCTCACTTGATGACCCAAGGGTGGCATTTAATGACCAGGGGACCAAACCCAAAAGAAAAATAAAAAAAAATTCACTCGGGGAGGCTTTGACTGGTCTACCCATTGACCGCGTAGAATGGACGACACGACCTCCTCCAAATCTAGGAGGCCTACCGCACGTGAGATGGGCCACTCCGCCAGCCACAGCCAGCCAAACAAATGCCCTAATTACTCTCACTCCGCCACCCTGCAGCGTGGATTTATGGCAAATGCTTTTGCGCAGCGTCGCAGGAAACACGAGAGGAGGAGTTGTGCAAGCGAGCTAGCGAGCGCCGAGGAGGAACAAAAGTAACAGCGACTGGAATGGAGAAGGATTGCCAGGAATGCGACCACCATTTTTCTTTCCACCACCTTTTCTCTTCTTTGTTTTCTCTGTTTGTTTGTGATATGAACTATCTTTTTAAGCATGGTCCGGGGACCCCGGGATTGCATGAGTGATCCACTCAACCGAAATCTCTCCCCGCCTTGTTTGTGTTGTGTTGTTTATTGGTACGGAGGGCTCTTTCTTTGGGAGACAGGATCCCCGTCCTGGGGATGGATCGAATCTAGCGAGAGAGATTGAATAATACTCCGCGAGCTCTAAAGGGGGGCCAGCAGCACGCGTTTACAGGATGAGGATTACAGGCTCACAGCAGCTCTGGCCGGACGGGCTTTGGTGATAGTTACGGAAACTCACGGAACATTCGTTTGTTTTGTGGAGAAAATGGTCCTTTTCATCAGAAGCGTAATCTATTCAAGTTATTATATAAGGTTGTGCAACATGAGATGAACACAGTGTTGCTGCTGCTGTTGTTGTTGTTGAGTTTGTGCTGTTGCTGTTTGTCCAATCCAGCCAAGCGTGCAAGTGATGTACCACTGTTGCAATTGACATCGTCCTAGGTGCTTTTTGCACAACCACCGTTGACACATCAAATGGTGGAAAAAGCCCCGTGCTGTCAGCATGCCACCCAACAACCGGCAAACAATAGGCAGCCACGGCAACCCCCCCCCCCCCCCCCCCTCCCTCCACAGCGCCCACGCTCGCCTCCAAAAACCTCTAAACTTACAAAACCACTAAGCAAAACAGTGGGCTGATCAAGGGCGGTGGAGATGATTACGTGAATGATTGGGTTGGCATGCATGATTGGTGGCATAGTATAGCCTAACACGATGTGTGTGAAGCTTGTGTGTGCCAAGCCAGGAACCCCACTCGGTGGATCCCTTTTCGTTTCTTCCAGTGCGGTTCAATGAAATGCACAGTTGATTCATGAGTTTGCACAGCCCCCACCGATGGATGGATGGATGAACGCTCGCCAACGACGTGATAGCTATCTTGTCGTATAGCGAGTACGGCACGACGGGAATTGGAGTGCATTGAAGCATAGCGGAGGAACAGGCCGTACCATATTCTTCCTGTCTATATGGGTTTTGTTGTTGTTGTTGTTGATGATGATGATGAAGAAGCGGGATGCTTTTTGGTAATAGTACTAGTTGCTGTGTTGCTGCTGGCTGCTGCTGGCTGCTGCGGCTGGCTGCTCTGGTGCTGTCGCTGCTGCTCTCGCTATACGCCGATTTTTTTACACAGTGGTGGTGTGTGTTTTTGTGGTTGGCTGGTTTTTATGAGGGGGAAAGATCGGCCGGCCCAGACGTGGAATCTTGAATAGTCGCGTTCGTCCAAGTGTTGTGCTTTCTTATGTGAGGCTCTTTAGCAGACAAGTCTTGCAAGGCCAGCCAACAAAGCGATGTCTTTTACGCATTTGGAAGTGGGGGAAATGTCTGGCTGTGCCGGCAGAAAAGACGGGGCTTGTCGGGTGTGTACCCAACGTGCCCAGCTGGTCTGGCAGGGCAGGCCCCGGGCAATGGACCCCCTCGCTCGCCCATGAACCCTATTCGCGCCCTCGTCGCCTCCGCCACCTTTTGTTCTAATGCGGGTCAACCCCCTGTGGACATTGTTGAGATTCCGCGGGGGCGCAATTTGCTGGTGGAGGAGCAAGCAAGCACAGAGAAACATGTAGATGGCGCAGTAACTTGTGTGTTGTCCTGTCTCTTTGACCCCGTGATCTTGTACAGCTTCGTCGATTCGCAAATCACCTCTTGCGGAGGGGAGAATCTTTGAGTTTTCGCGCTTGGCGGTTGCTTGGAACTCTGGATCTTCTATTGCGACGAATTCTCTTCTCTTTCTAAGTTCCTGTGCTGGCTACTTGAGAGCCTTAAAGTTGGTCGTTTTTTTCTTTCTTTTTCTTTCCAGGTTGATGTGAGCTGCCCTTGTTTGATCCGAACCGAGCACATCGATCCATTCGGGCTCGAAACTTCTGGGCGCGCACGAAAACGATGTGAGAGGGGAGCAGTAAATTTGTGCTGTGCTCCCTCACTTTCTTCGCCTTGATGGCGTCGAGGAGAGTACGGTGGTCCTGCGTGTCGACGGCCGAAAGCGGACGTGCAGAGAACTAAGGAATCACGCCTTTGAAACTCAGCAAACTCACCAGTGCCAAACTTTTTCTTACACACACAAGGGCTTAATGTTACGTACCCGGAACAACAAAGAAGTCATCCCGCCATGGAATCGTCCCGTACTTAGGTACGGACCCCTGAAAGAGCAATGTTGGAAACGCTTTTGCGGCGTTTTGAGGAAGTTCCTCCGCAGTTCGAGTTGATCACGCTGTACGTTTGCCCCCGCCTTCCCCCAACATTGACTCCGCATCCATAGGCCTGCTAAGTTTAAGCCGTCGATCGACACACGACTCTTGTGGATTCCATTGGAAAGGAGAAAAAGTCCAATGCTTTTGTTTCTCCACGATCACCGATCGGCTAGTGGGCCTTGATCCCCCAGGGTCCATGTCTAGCTGTGTCAAACACGATCAAAGGCTTACGAATCAAAGCAATATCCGCGGACAAACGAAAGTCTCCCATTCCAAAGTTGAATCGCGAGCATTCGCTTGCGCATGGCTTCGGTCATTCTCAACACGTGGTTTGAAAGTGGATCTAGATTGTTTGGAAGTCAAGATTGGAGAAAGGTCAGAGCTTTTTACGTGCTAAGTGTCAATCCACAACTTGCAAGACTAGCACTTGCAAGACTAGCCTAAAACTTATGTGTACGTGCCAACTTGAAAGATGGCCATGCATGGCATTTGCTGTAGCCTAAAACGTCCGCACGTGTTTAGTGAATAAGTCGTCCATCGTCTCGCTCCTTCCACAGCTCAACTAGATCCACGCCGCGCTCATCATCGATCGAGACCACGATGTGTTCGTTGCCAATCTCCTCCTCCAAGCCTACGCCGACGATGCTTTCCACATCTTCCTGGCGATGTGGCAAAGGAACGTCTTCTCCGGTCTCTTGGATATCCTGTTCGTGTGTTGGAACGGGATGATTAGGAGCTCCAGCCCGGATTCCATTGCTAATCTCTTCCTCAGGATTGTGGCAATGATCCGGAATCGCGGAGGCGATGGAATTCTTTTTGGGGATGCCAGATGGTAGCGAACTGTCCTGGAATCTAGCAATCGCAGCAGTTGCCATGAATGGGCAAATTTCTGCAAGCGTTTCTTTCCTTTTTACGATGACAATGTGGAGTTTGATTGCTTTTAACACGATCCTCCACTCTTGTGTTGCGCACTGCAATTACGAGTCAGCGCTTGATCTCTTGAAAAAAATGCCAATTGTGAATGAAATCTCAGGCAGCGCTGCAATCACAGCATTGCCGCGAAGGGGCAAATGGATAACGCTTGTGCAATTGTTTGGGCGATCATCCAGCGGAGCGTGATGCTGTGGATGACCATGGCTGTCGCACTGTTTCGTTTCGAAAGCATAGATCTTGGATGAACTGTTCTTGATGCGATGCCGCTGTGGACAAGTTCTTCCTGGAACTCGTTTCTTCCAGCAAGTGCCAGGAGAGGGCATCTTGTTCCAGATCTTTCCGAGAGGATTTTCAAGGAGCTGCTTCCTGCCAGAGATTTGATATCGTGGAACACGATACTGATGGCGCTGTGCGATCACCAACGCGTGGATCGAGTGTGGCGATCTTCGAAAGAGCTCCAATGGGGGGGTCTTGTGACCTGGAACACGATGCTCGGGGCATCGGGCGAGAGGATGACGACGATGTTTGATTCGATGCCACAGAGAGACATGATCTCCTGGCGTTTTGATCACTACGGCCTTGGCGCAATCGATCTTCGAGAAGATGCCGCAAGCGTCGTGTCGTGGACAGCAATGATCCAAGCCTTTGCCAATCGAGGGGATTTGCATCGAGCAAGAGATTGCTTCGAGCAAATGCCCGAGTACAATCTGGAACGCGATGATCCACGCGTGTGGAAGCGCGCACTCGAGGGCATGTGGATGGAGCTTCGTGGCCGTGCTGCTCGGCCGATCACGCCACCGGCGGCTTGATTCTCGACGAGATCACGAGCATAAATTGGATCACAGGTCGCCATGGCAATGCTCTGGGCCAGATCCACAGCTCTTCCAGCGACTGCAATCCATCCATCCCAATCCGGCGCTGTGGTCCGTTCTGATGGTGTCACATTCTTGGCGCTTCTCCCGTGCTGCGCTCACACGGGTCTGGTCGATCGAGGCGTGGAGCTGCTGCGGTCCATGGCGGGCGATTTCGGGGTTGGCTGTGCTGGATCTGCTGCGGCGATCGTAGAAGAAGCCATGAGCCGGGCGAGTGGCTTAAGCGACGCAGCTCGCGATCGATCGGGGACGATGCTACAAAGCCCTAACGTGTAGAACCCTAATTAGGGTTCTTGCGGGCGATGGAGAAGCCGATGCTGCTCCTTACGCTGCTCGTGCTGCTGCTTCTGGGATCGATCGACGCGCAGATCTCCAAGCCGATTGCTCACGACTCCAATGTGGAGGAGAGCGTCAAGCAGAACAAATTCCGCAGCCGCGAGGCCAGCGACGATCTTCTCGGCTATCCAAACCTGTGAGTACTTCTTTAGCTCGCTTTCTTGCTTAGCTGCATTCGTTGATCGATTGGAAATTTTCCTCTTACCAATAGTTTTTTTTTTTCCCATCTAGAGACGAAGAAGCTTTGGCGAACACGCAGTGTCCTAGGAACTTAGAATTGCGATGGCAGGCAGAAGCGAGCGCAAGCATCTACGCTGCTCCTCTCATCGCAGACATCAACGGGTGAGTATCCTTGTTTCTTTCTCTTGATGCGAAGAAAAATGTGGATTGATTTGATACAAGGGATGGGAAACTGGACATTGTTGTGCCGTCTTTCGTTCACTACCTCGATGTTCTTGAAGGAGCAGATGGTGAAAAAATGCAAGGTGTGTTGAGTCGTGGAGCTTGATGGTGCTACTGATTTATGCTTGTCCTCGCTGCTTAGGATGGCCGGCTTATCACCAATCCACAGTGCATTCCAGTCCCTTGCTTTACGACATTGACAAGGATGGATATAAGGAAATTCTTTTGCCGACTTACAACGGAGAAGTTCTTATGTTCCGGTAAGTTGAAGCAAAAGTTTGAAGCTCAAAACAAGGTTTTCTCTTTTTTTTTCTTTGTCAAGTTCGTCGGGCTATCAGATAAATGAGAAGATCACAGTTCCAAGGTTACGGGTTCGAAAGGACTGGTATGTTGGATTGAGTCCTGACCATGTGGACCGATCTCATCCTGATGTTCACGATGATGGTTTAGTGATTCCTTCTCCTCCTGGTACGTATCAATGTCTCTGTGTAAAATCCATTCGCTCTTGTTTAGCTCTTGCGGCTTGCAGGCGTGTCAAGTGACCACGCGGTAGCGAATGCTTCTAGTACCATCGCCACGAAGGATGGACAGAACGGTTCTAGTACTATCGAGACGAAGGATGGACAGAACGGTAGCTCTCCCGGCAATGTTTCGGCAAAACTGGACAACTCAACCTTAAGCAACACTCCGGAGACATTGAACGTTTCAGCAACTGCAACTGCAGGGAATGGATCGGCTACTTTGAAAGTTAGCGACGTCGCTGAAGCTGGGTCAGAACTTCGCATGGGTACTACAAGTCCGAATAACACGCAGGGAACACAGAGACGGCTTCTCCAACAGGAAGCCACAGCCGGTGACAACCGAGAGAAACTGGAAGCGGATGCAGAGGCCACGTTTGATGTTTTCCGTGATAAGGGAGGGCTGAGTGACGAGTATGCTTACGATTATGACGACTACGTAGACGAATCGATGTGGACCGATGATCACTGGGTTCGGGCTGTCCACGAAAGGGAAGAAGACTTTATCGACATAGACGCACATATTCTTTGCACACCGGTAAGTGTGTCTTGTTTGGTTTTTGGCAGATGGCTAACATTGCCACTGTCTCCAGGTGATTGCAGACATTGACAAGGATGGAGTCGACGAACTTATTGTTGCTGCTTCCTTTTTCTTTGATCGTGAGTAAGCTCTCCTGCCGCTTTTCAACCTTGCATTTGGTAGCACAGGTATTCATTCTTTCTTTGCAGGTATTACGAAGCAAATCCTGACTTGCTCAGCAAGGATGTCGATATTAGCAAATACGTTGCTGGAGCCATCTTCGTTTTTAGTTTGGACACGAAACAAGTCAAGTGGAAAATACATTTCGACCTTAGTACCGATTCTGTGGCGTTCCGTGCGTATATCTATTCATCGCCGACGGTAGTCGACCTGGATGGCGATGGATACCTCAGTATCGTAGTTGGGACATCCTTCGGATTCGTTTATGCTCTGCATTACAACGGTAATACTTGTTTTTTTTTCTGTTCTCTCGCAGGCCTCAGAAACTTTTCCTTGTTTTGTTTGCAATCCAGGTATTGTAAGGAAAAACTTCCCGCTACAAATGGGAGAGATTCACGCCCAGGTTGTTGCGGCTGACGTAAACGACGATGGGAAAGTCGAGATTGTCACCGCTGACACAAGAGGCAATGTTGTTGCCTGGGAGACCGATGGCAAGCTATTGTGGGAAGTTCATCTCAAGAGTATGATAGCTCAAGTAAGTTTTTGGTTCGTTTCTCTAGTTTTTGAAACAAACTTGTCTTTGCAGGCGCCGACTGTGGGCGATGTGAATGGCGATGGAATAACTGACGTGGTTGTTCCGACTGCTTCAGGCAACATCTACGTTTTGAAGGGCACCGACGGCTCATATGTTCCCCCGTTTCCGTTCCGTACGCATGGCCGGATCATGGCTTCGGTGTTGCTACTTGATTTTGGTAACAAGGAATCGGAGCAAGCCGACGTGGTCTTGGTTGCAACTTCGTTCGATGGCTACCTGTACATTATCGATGGGAAAACTGGCTGTGCCGACGCAACAGATATTGGAGAAACATCGTAAGCCTCGAGAGCTGCTCGTGATTACGTACTGATTTCTTTTTTTCGTTACAGATATACCATGGTTTTAGCGGAGAATGTTGACGGAGGCGACGATCTCGATCTGATAGTTACAACCATGAATGGAAACGTCTACTGTTTCCAAACCCCAGTGAAACACCACCCCTTGAAGGTATGAATGTGCATAGCCTCGTGTATTCAAAGTGATCTTATCTCCATTTGCAGGCATGGCCGACAGCAAACCACGGGAGGAACGTCCTGTCACCTCGCTACAATCGCGAAGGCGTTTATGCTCTACCTTCGTCCAGAAAGTTTCGAGACGAAGCCGGCGAGAGCTTCTGGGTGGTGTTTAAAATCGTGGATCAGCACAACTTGCACGGGCCTTACAACGTGACTGTAAGTTCCTCCTCGAAGCTCGGCCTTTCCATTTCTCCAAAACTTATCCTTTGTTTCTCTCGCACAGCTGACGCTCTTGGTCCCGGGGAACTACCACGAGCCTCGAAGGATCATGCAGTGGCATCGCTACGATCAACCGGGGGTCCAGAAGCTCAAAGTCCCGTGCGTGCCAATCCGGAGCACTGGAACAGTGACGCTGGAGATGGTGGACAGGCACGGCCTCGCTTTCACCGACGAATTCTCGCTAACGTTCCATATGCACTACTATCGACTCCTCAAATGGTTCGTGGTTCTACCATTGCTGGGAATGCTTGTAGCCATCGTTGGTCTTCATCCCGAAGATCACGTCTCGCTACCTTCTTTCTCTTCCAATGGTAGGCACCAAATGTAGGAACCATGGTTGAAGTTAACTCTAGTCAAGGTTTAAAAGTAAACTCTAGTTAATTTTTCCTAAAGCCCTAGCTATGGCGGCCATTTGACGAGCGCTCTCTCTGGCGGTCGCGATGGCGCCTCTCCCACTTATCGGTGAGTTTCTTCGCAGATCTCTCGAGGTTAAACTGATTCGTCGCGGCGATCGCAGTGCGGAGCGCCGAAGGGCTGACGCTGCTAGGCGGCGAGAGCGAGAAGCTGCAGAGGTAGAATTTTGGTTTCTTGACGTCCTAGCTCTCACACATTCTTCGCATTCTTCCATTTGCGAAGGCTTGCTTGCGCTGGAGCATCGGTTAGCAAGGATGGAAGCGAGCTAGCTGTGATCACTGGCGATGGGGTGGATGTCTTTGATCCAGTGACTTGCAACAAAATCCAATCTTTTCGGTTGGATGGTGTTGTTGCTGCTGTCTTCTCGTCGGCCGGATCGTTTCTACAGATCTTTCGAAAGGCAACCGGTCCGGAAGACAAGAATGTTGGCATCTGGGACGTGAAAACTGGGGAGGCAGTGGTTCTCTTATATCAGAAAAACTTTTCAAAGTCAAGCTGGTAAGAAAACTTTTTTCTTCCTTTCTTTTTGTTTATAGTCTTGAATTCGTTTGGTTGTGTTTACAGGCCGATTCTCCAGTTCAGCGACGACGATTCTGTGGCTTGCCGGCTTGCAACCAACTCGGTCCAGATCTACGATGCCAAAGACTTTGCAAAGGGTGTCGTCGATCATTTGCATTTGCCTGGAATTCAAGCTGTGAAACTTTCTCCAGCTCCTCCGTCCTATCTCGCAACGTTTATTCCGGAGAGCAAGGTTTTAACTTACGACGATCTTTCTCATATCTTACATGGTTTTCTGGTTTTATCAGGGACAACCGGCCGTGGTGCAAATATATGAAAGTAAAGAGGCTAGCAAATGTCAGGCACTGGCTCGACGTAGCTTCTTTAAGTCGAGTAGCGTCACCATGACTTGGAACGCGGGCTCGACCGGATTGCTTGTGCTAGCGGTCACTGACGACGATAAATCCAACCAAAGCTACTATGGCGACACCAAATTGTATTACTTGAAAAGCGATGGGACTTGTGAAGGGACGGTTCCTCTGAGTAAGTTCATGTTTGTTCTAGCTCGTTAATGTGATGAATCTTGTGCAGACAAAGAGGGGCCTATCCATGACGCTCAGTGGTCCCCGACCGGGAAAGAGTTTATTGTCGTCTATGGCTGTATCCTTTCAAGCGTTTTATATCTATACTGTATCACTTAACGAGACTTCCAGACATGCCTGCTAAAGCTGCTCTCTTCGATACACAATGCCGGCAGGTTTTTGATTTTGGATCTGGACCTTATAACACCGTGCGGTGGAATCCCTTTGGAAGCTGTATCCTTGTGGCGTTTCTTTTCTTTTTTGTACTTTGGCTAGTTCTTCCTGACAGGTTCAAGTTATCTGTTTGGCTGGGTTCGGGAATCTTCCGGGTGATATGGTAAACAATAAGTGTTTTATGATACACTGCTTATCTTTTCCACTTCTTCTTCAGGTGTTTTGGGACCGGAACACGCTAAAATCGATTGGAAACACGAAATCTCCCTGCTCAGTAACGTGTGAATGGGCACCCGATGGCCGGCTACTGATGACGGCCACGACCGCTCCACGAATGCGAGTCGATAACGGGTATATGTTTGCTATTTTACGTGAGCGGCGATTACCTCGACTTGCAACATCAGGATAAGGATCTTCAAGTACACGGGAGCTCTGTTGGAGGAACAAAAGATCAACGATCTTTATCAAGTGAGTGCTTGGTTATATTTTGCTTTAGATGTAATATTTCCTCGTTTGTTTCATCAGGCGGACTGGCTACCTGGACAGTATGTTGAGAGGCCAGCTTCGCCAGTTTCTGCCAAGAGTTCACAAAAAGAGAAACAACCATCTGGTATGTTTTTGATTATAAAAGAAATAAAAATTCTTTACTCGGCTTGTTCTATGCTTTTTAGCGGCTGCTATAGCCAAATCTGCAGCTTACCGTCCACCTCATTCAAGCATGTCGGCGTCAGTGCGTGCTCAGGTAAGTAATCAGAACAAATCGGGCTGTATTACGTGATGGAAAACTCTGTTGCAGCTATTTGGTGAAGAGGACTCCAATGCTGGAAGGTTTGGAGCAAATCCTTTTGTCTGAACTTTTTCTAACGTTTTTTTTTTTTTTTTTGCGAACCCAGTGGGTTGAGCAAATCGGCTCTTAAGAACAAAAAGCGACGTGAGAAACAGAAAGAAAAGTCTGAAACACTTCCCGACGCACCAGTGAGTAGTAGTTCATTCTTTTTCTGCAGCTAACTCCTTTCGTCCCTGGTTGTAGGAAGTCGTGAAGGAGGTCAACAGTGAGACATCTTCAGGTGAGACTGAGTCGTTTAAACTGCCTTTTGCTGTGCTCAGAAATTTAGCTTACAGGAGATGAGTTTGCGAAGAAAATTCGAGCTCTGAACAAGAAGCTGCGGCAGATAGAGGAACTCAAGAACAAGTTAAGTGGGCAGACGCCATCTCAAGAACAGAAGAGCAAGCTTCAGCAGGAGGCGTTATTGAGGGAAGAAATCAGGAAATTGGAGCTCTCTTCATAGATGGTTCTGCCTGGAGTGAAGTTTTCTTTCGACAGTTAACGGAAACTCAAACGCGATCAAGCGTGTACAGGTTCTTGAATTTCTTTCTCTGTCTTTATTCATTCTTACGGTTTGTTTATTGTTCAGGATGAAGCAGCGCGTCCTAGTACCAATCTACAAAGCTGAAGAGAGATTTCTAATGACATAGCCTTTTCAATTCGAACAATTTTTAGTCATTACAGCTTGACTTGGCTGGTTCTCATTTTGGTTTTAGCTTGCCTGGCAGGTCCAAAAGTTCTTGTACCATGGAGCACTAGACGAGGTAGAGATCGATTTATGGAAGGCTTCTCAATTGTTTTTTCTCCCTTTTTCCAGTGCAAGGATACTACTCTCCAGGAAGTGACAACACTCATGCTAGTTTTTTAAGTCAACGGGATTTTATTCGCAAGGAAAAAAGATCGCACTGCCTTCCCAGGTCGGTAGGGTTTGATAGTTTTTGATATGAAGAGGTGCTAGCTCGACTGATTTTCCCATTGGCAGTGCTATGGCGATTGTAGGAACGACGAGCTTTCCTCGTGTTTACGCAAATGGAGATAAGGGGAGAATTAGGGAAAGTGGTAGCATGGCGGTGACAAGTCGTCCGCGAACTTCATGGCTGTCGGTTTACAAGATCTCCGACACCATCTGGAAGAGGATCATCCACTTCCGGGGGCAGCCAACTTCGTCGAGTGTCACAATTGTCACGGACAAAAGGAGCAAGAGCGATGAGAAGCAGGAGGACAAGATTGCGTCCGTGGTAGCCGACCAAGCCGACCCTTCGGTCGCTTGGGAGCAAAGGGTCAAAGACGTGGAAGCCGAGAAGCGGCGTCGAGCGCTGCTCAACCCGGGATTTAGCTTCTCAGCTGCTGGGCTTTTGTTCCCTTACCACCTGGGCGTGTGCCAGTGCCTCATGGAGCGGAACTATATCACGGTACGATCGAGCTCCAACTCTTCTCCATTTTCTGCAACTTTTCCTTTCTATCTTCGCAGGTGGATACTCCTTTAGCTGGATCGTCGGCTGGAGCGCTCGTTTGCGCTGTTGTAGCTGCAGGGATGAGCATGCAAGACGCACTGGTCGCAACCAAGGATCTAGCACAAGATTGTCGTGCCAACGGGACCGCTTTCAGGCTCGGGGTAAGAGAGATCTCTCGAGGTACTGAGTCTGATTCTAGTTTTCTGAGAGCTCCTCTTTATTGTCTCCGTCACTAGGCTGTGCTGAGGAGAGTTTTGTACAAAGTTATGCCCGATGATGCGCACGTTAAGGCGAGCGGGAGGATCAGAGGTATGGAGCTGTCTCTTTTCTCTCTCCCTTGTGTCATGCTAAGTTCACTACTTCTCTCTGCAGTTGCAATCACGCAACTCTTTCGAGTACCAAGAGGCCTGCTCGTTGACCAGTTTGATTCCAAAGAAGATCTGATCAACGCTTTGCTTACGTCGTGTTTCATTCCCGGGTAAGTAGTTTGCTCTTGCGTTCCATTAAGATGGGAGCTTGACTGGGTTTTAGTTATCTAGCACCACGACCTGTTACCGTCTTCAAGAACAGACTGTGCATCGACGGCGGGTTCACGCTCTTCATGCCCCCTTCAGCTGCTGAAACAACGGTTCTTTCGTGTCACTTGCTAAGATTCGAGTTGGCTTCTGAAACTTTCGCTTTGCTTTTACACAGGTACGAGTGTGTGCCTTTTCTGCCAAGCGCCTCGGTCTTCAAGACACAGTGGGTATCAGCCCGGACTGTAATCCCGACAACCGAGCCTCTCCAAGACAGGTACAGAAATAATAAGAAGCTACAAGGTACATAGCTAAGTTCTCGACTGTTTTGCAGCTTTTAAACTGGGCTTTAGAACCGGCTGGAGATGCAGTATTAGATGAGCTCTATGTGTTGGGCTACAAGGATGCTGCAGTGTGGGCAAATGCAAATCCTTTGATCAGTTTTAGAGGCAAGGGAACAGCTGCTCCAGTTTGAAGATGCAACAAACGATTGCTGTATCATACTAGAGGCATTCATGCGAAGGTAAGAAAGGAAATACAGAGATTCTTTGGGACACCATTCTCTAAGCATTTGTACACAAAGAAGAAGAACACAAAGAAGAAGAGAAGAAAAACCAGGCATTGACAAAAGTTCCTTGTTCTACATGGTTGTCAAAAGAATCAAACGTTGTCAAAAGAAACAAACAAGAAACTACTTGTGAAGCTTCATGATCAGTTGTGTGACTTTGTCAATAGCGTTCTATTTTCCCAGCCCACGTTTGAGAATTTTCCAGTCAAGCGCGTAGGTACCGGGAAGGCGGGCGGCTTCCTGGTATAAAAGCCCAACCAGGGAAACCCAGGCAATTCATCGATCCCAGTCTACAATCTTCCATCCTCTAGCCTGAAATTTGAGATTTTTCTCTTTTTCTCATAACACCCATGGCAAGTTCA